ACTGGTCGGACGCGTTTAGCGAGTTTCCGGCAACGTCGCGTCATGGGCAATTCCATCTAACATGGAAAAAAATAATTCATCTGTCCGAAATAATTTGTTTTCTTAAGAAATTTCGGGAAATATAGTCTTCTAAATTCTACTATAATTTTTAAGGCACTTCCATTGACATTTTCGAATTTTTTTGAATTTCTCCAATTGGCCAGTCAATTGTAATTAAAGAGAAACGACGCGCGGCGGTGTTTCCCTCATAGGGTGACCAATCTAGGGTTTTAATCAGGCGTTTGGAAGCCTATTATTTCGGTTATGACGTCATAAAGTGGCATAAGTAATGCTGCGTAACGCTCCCGTGATGCATCAAAATTTACCGTCAGCGGAACTAGTCAATTTTCCATATTTCCCCCCTAAAACTCCTCTCTTTTTCAACCCTGAACATGATAAATTGTGCTGCAGAGCTAGTTAACGAGAGATTGAACGCTTTCAAGAGTATCCCTGGCGTTTAGAGTCACTAGAGCATCACTGTGGAAACTTCCAGGCGCATTACACCTGTGAGATTAAAAAAAACGCGAATTTTCATTGTTACTACTAAAGTATCATGAAAATAAGGTTGAAAACTCGTGAAATATTGCGGGTATCGTGTGTTGGTGTGAATAGAATGTGCGATGAAGGATGACTGTGACGGTGGAAAAAAGAGTAGAAAGGACAAAAGAATGAGGAGAAAGGTAAATAGGCCTCGAGAATGTGAGTGGGAATTCCGATGTCGTGAATGTCGCTTATTCGTCCCATTCAATTCCAACTCCCCTAGAAGTAGAAATAAAAGAGGATTCACGTATGTGTGTGTGTGTGTGACACTCATGTCAACTTTTAATCTCTCAGGAAATTCATTCGTTCATTTCTCCCGTCCTTGACCGCTCTTCCATGATTAATTAGGCAATTACAATGACAATTGAATTAATTGACCTGGACAAACCGTGAATCGAGGGATCAATCGCACGGGAACAATGTTACATCGAATAATAAAATAATCAATCACAGTTGAGGGGGCTTCATTATCGACTGTGATTATTAATTCAGGAGGGAAGTGTGTAAATGTAAGAGAATAAGTGAATGCTTTACATTTTGGGAAATAGTGAATTATTTCGACAATGAGTTACTTCAGAAGAAAATGTCAAGGAATTTTTTTGGTGGGAATTTTTCTTCTAGAACGAACAATCAACAAAAATGTCGGGAGTGACCTAGTTTGCAGAAAATGGACCTCTTTAATTGACAGTGTCTATTCACACGCTCCACGGGAACTTTGACCGTGGATATACGGGACGTTTTCCCGTGGATTCCAAGGTAATTTCTACCGTGGATATATGGGAGATCGTGGACCGTCAACTTTTACTTCTCAAATTAAATCTGGACAATAAACTAGACACATCGAATCAACTGATAAGTGATATGTAGATAGTAGACTAGTAAATATTTTTCTCGAAATATTATAATAATTCGTTGAATACAAATATCAGTCCAGATTAACGCAAGTAAAAAATGAAATAAATAGTTGACAAATAGTTGACTAAACGCAAATAAATGATGAAGTAAATAGTTTTTTACATTTTATGTGAACGCTTTCTCAACAATATTCATATTTGTTTAATGGGATCCGAGTGCAGGCGTGAGTGCCGAAATATAGTGCAAATGATTTTGAGGGTGATTCCGGACCGGGGGAGCCTCCGAGACCCCACTGGACAATGTTGTCACAACTCTCTGGTTTTCAACTCAGTATTGAAGCGGTAAACCGAGTTAAATCGATTTTGACTACTAGCCAGTTTTTGCTGAATATCTCGGAATCTAAGAGAGATACCAAAATTTTTCTCACGACTTTTTTTTAACGCTCTATTGGCTCTACAAAAAAGGTCATGACAAAAATCTTTCTATCTCTTTTAGATTCCGAGATATTCGTCAAAAACTAGCCAATAGTAAAAATCGACTTAACTCGGTTTACCGCTTCGCTACTGAACTCAACTGTCAGAGTTGAATAGACACTGCCGCAGAAAATGGACCTCTTTAATTCCTCAATATCCTCCTACCAACCACTCCCACTGGATCAAAACTCTCTCATTTCGATCAATAAAAAAAAGTAGCCAGATACTCGTTCCCGGAGCAAATCTCCCGAAAAAATTTTTGCGGAGGAGAGAAAACGAAAAAAATAGATTGAAAGTACCAAAGAAAATTGTTGAATGAAACAAAGAAAATTTCGTTGAAATTCACCAAATAATTTGCTCCGCGTGACTCCCCTTACCTGTTAAAAAAACGAAACGACCGTAAAAAACCGGTCAAATTCCTCCGAAAAAAGTGTGTCCGCCGACAGGAGGAGAATTAAAGGTGGAAACTTAATCAAGCGAGAGCCCGGAGCCTATCCAAACCACGTGTACGTCACGTTGACAGTTCTGTCGCCTGCCCCCTCCAGCCGCCGATCAACTGCCAGCACACACGCACACACACCCCCCAACACCACACACACACACACACACACACACACACACATCCGACACCACTGAACCCACGGCGACACGGGTAGATTTAAAGTCTCGTCACACACGAAAAAGCGTAACAAAAGCTCATAAAAGTGCAGGCAATTAGAAAAAAAGCAAACCTCATGGGCGCGATTTTCCTTGTGGGCAATTTGCCTAGTCAGCTCCTCATCCTCCCCTTCCTGGTAATGTCCTTGAGTCTGGCAGTGGCTGGTCTCCGGGGTCCCCTCGGCACTTCATCGTTGCGTCTCTGTTCTCCCGCCATTACCGCCATTTTAACAGGCACAAAACAACAGAAAAGGAAAGCAGGGGGAGCCCCACGCCCCGCAATTATTCGGAAAATAAAGGGAAAAACCACTGCACTGAGTTCAACGCTACATTCAACAGCTTCTAGTCACTCGCAAGGTCAATGAAAAGTACAAGTAATCCACAGGGAGAGTGTCACTCGCGTGAATTAACACGAGATCGTCAGGCCACGTAAACAGTGAACCGATAATCGTCAACAGAACACGACTCGAGAAAATACACATCTCACTTGCAAATAAAAATGAGACTGGCCATCTCTCAAAGTGTCTCCCCCCCTCCCTGCCCCCACTGGGATATTATTATTTTTTAAACTCCTTATGTTATTATTTTCGGCCACACACTCGCGTCGTCTCGGTATATTTTTAGACTCTCGCGTGTGTCTGCATCATATCGTCGGTGAAAAATTAATACATGGGGACAGAACGGACTCGTGAGGCGACTGGGGACGAGGACAGAGTGAGGAAGTGGGTGAGAATACCTTAAAGTTTTATGTTTTTTTTTCAAGTCTTTCGTATCGTCCGGTCTTTGGGGGCTTTACTTTTTCATGTGGGGAACACCGCAATTTATTATTTATGGGGAATATCGAATTCTGCTGGGGGAATTGGAAAGCGAACTGAGAGACCGATCACTCCTGCCTTCTTTCTGTCTACTTCGTTTTATTTTATTTTTCCTCTTTTTGTTTTCTCCCCCCTCTGACTTGGGAGCGTGAGGTGAATTCTTGAGGATGCTACCGACGAGGTCGTTTGCTGCGGAAATCGAAAGACGATAGCTCGATAGCTTGGCGGTCAATGTTGGAGAAAATTTTATAGGGCGACCCTGGGGACGTAGCGACACTAACACAGTAGGGTAGTTCAATTTGTTGATGACGTTTTGTTCATTTATTTTGAAAAAGTCTCGAAGGATTTTGACGTTTTAGCGAGATGCGAAAGACGTAAAATGGCATTTTAGAAAGATTTATGGCTTTCTAGATTTATTAATATTCGCGATCAGTTGTAGGGGAGGGTGGGGTAAAATGGACACTAGATTTTTTAAAATTATTCATAACTCAGAAACAAATTTATCAATTGAGCTCAGTTTAGGCTCATTACAAAGGGAAAGAATTGTTCTTTGTATTGAAAACAAAATGATTAAATTTCATCGACATTTCAACCCGTCACTAATATTTTTTAAAAAGTCAAAAGTGTCCGTTTTAAAAAATTTAATGGAAAAACCTAGCACTTTGAGAAATTCTACTTTAGTTCTATTAGAATTTTATTTGGAAAATCGATTCGTTTTTTTGTGTCAAATGAAAATTGCCCTACTTTGCCATGCATTTGTCAACTGATGTTTTTTTAGAGAAAAAGTATTTATGTTGATTTTTTAATGCAACGCATTCTGTTGGGATTTTTTCTAGAAGAATTCTTGGGTATCAATTTTCAATTTTTTTTTCGTGGACTTTATGAGAAACAACTCAAAGTACAGTGGAGAAAACCTGGAGAATTCATGCTCAATAATTTCTGCAGAAATGAATGAATGAAATGAATTTTGATTTTGCAAATTATTTATAAAAAATACACTTAATTTTCCAAAATTACAATTTTTCACCTTCTAATTTTTTCCGATTTTTTAAATGTTTTCTCCCGGTTCAATATCACGATTAAAGTTCGGGCCTACAAAGGTTAAATAATAAATAAATAAATCATTATAAAATGTCTGGAAACTTAGGGTCGAATGGGGCTCTAATGGATGCTTTGATGTTCGACTACAAAAGTATAAAAGTAGTTCCCCGAAGAAAAAATGGCCAAAGGACTTGAATATCCTTAAATTTCAAATCAGAAGAGCCAGAGAAAAGACTACACCGTTGATTAGATCCTCAGACTCTATTAGAGACAAAACAAATCATGAAGTTAAAAAAAAAATGCCAATGGTTTTTGACTGAAATCGCGTTTTCCCATAAGAATCCACGTTAAATTGCAAAAAATACTATTGAATGATCTTGCAAACGATTCTCTTCAGCCATTTGCGAATTCGTGGATGGATTTCAGAGGTAGAGACCTCAATCCTGGATTTTTTTCCTGCATTTACACCACATTTTTACAACCTCGTCATAAAAATAATTTCGGAGAAAGGATCATCTCGAGTATTCAGATTTTTCTCGGTTGTTTCAAAGGAGAATAAATTCACTCACTGACAACGACATACGATAAATCGTTTTATTTTAATAACGTGTAATGTGCAATGTGTTTTATGAACATAATTATAGTAAAAGAGATAGTTAAATTAGCCAAGAGAGGGAGGTGATTCAATCAAAGGGATAATCCATGAGTTGGGAATTTTGAGTTTATCTGCTTTGATGACAATAAATAAATAACTTCTACTTTTCAGATATTTTTGAGGTTTTTTCGTCTTTGGCTGGAGTGCTAGGCACATCAGCCAGAGAAAATAAATATCTTGTTGATGCTCAATGGCTCGCCTGATGATTGATGAATGATCCGCGATGATTTTCGTGTTATGTTATTTTTCTAGTGGGTCTGGATTATTCCTCTTCCTCTTCCTCCTCTTCTTCCTCTTCCTCCTCCTCCTCCTCTTCTTCTTCTTCCTCCTCCTGATGGAACGATAATTCATTAGACATTTCATCACTTCTTTCATTTGAACGATATCCAAGTATTTTTTATAGTTTGGTACAGATCACACTATAGATTCAAAATTTGTCAATTAAATTGCGTGAGAAAAATTTGAAAAAAATCATGGATATTGAGCGTCATTACATTTTGCACATAATTATTATTTTCCTAAAAATATGTTAGAAAAATCATTGGAATTGTTTAAACTTTCGAAAATTTATTTTTAGGCATAAAATCGATTTCTAGTAAAATTCTGAATAGCAATAAATTTGATTGTTTATAATTTATTTCTAGAAAATGCTCGTAATTTTTAAACAACGCTATTTTTAAATTATTCCATCAATCTTTCTCCAAAAAGAAACTTTCTCATTTCCTTTTTTCAGATTTTTAAAACGTTTTCTAACGGTTCAATATCGAGATTCAAACGCAAAGTTTAAATAATAAAATCATTGTAAAATGTCTGTCTCGAATGAAAAAATAACCAAAGTATTTGGATATCCCTAAATGTGAGAATTATGTGATTGTTCACCTCTTCCTCTTCCTCCTCTTCCTCCTCCTCTTCTTCCTCCGCCTCCTCCTCCTCTTCCTCGAATGCTGGCTCTTCGAGGTCGTCATCAACCGCTGCTTTCACATCTTCCTCACCTTCCGGTGATTCGGGGTCATCCTTCTTTTTACCGGGCCTCTCGCCGAACCACTTGGGCAACTTCGCTATAAGTTTCATTCACGAATATTAATTCGCGAAAACTCTATTGTCGAGTGGAATGAAGAGACCGGAATTCATTACTAAGAAACATCTTCATAATCACAATTTCTGAGATTCAATTTATCTCAGGTGGGGAATAACACAGAGAAAAAGTTTCTACATTGTAAAGTAAACGAAAAGACTTCTCGTTTACTTTTCGTTTGCGAGTAAACGAAAAGTCATTTTTTAGTACAAGGTGAACGTAACAGCCGTGATAAAATAGTACATTATGTCATGAGGCGATAAAAGTATTATCTGACGAGTGCGACTTTATAATCCGAGCCGCAGGGATCGGCAAAAATAGCTACTAAGTAATTTTAGAAGAAGTTTACCATAGATTAATCATAGTTCGTTACTTTTTGCTTTAAATTAAACAATTAATTCTAAATATCTGACTGTGATCTTTCAATTAATCAAATAATTATCATTCTTGCGAGGTTGATTACTGATTTATAAAATATTTGAAGAATTAAAAAAATTGATTTATGATTAATTCAATAGTTCAAAATTTGAAAATATCGATTAATAATTAACATAATAAAAAATAAAATGAAAATTGAAAAATTGTAGAATACAGTTCCCTGACTCTGTATGTAATAAAATAATTTTAATTGTGTATTTTGCCTGTCTCTGTCGAGCCGAAGGCGAGGGTTATAATCACATGAGTCCTGAAAACCGCGATGTAACCGAGCGAAGCGAGATTAGAATCGCGGTTTATCGAACCTAGTATCATAAACTATATTTCCTCAACCAAGTCTGGTTTGACCCAAACTACCGCTAGTTGAAAGTTACCAAAAACTCAAATCTAGTGCCGACACTTGAAGACTCTCCTGAGATGAGAAATTTTTGTCGCAAAAAAAAATATATTCAGTAGTTTCGGAAAAATTTGTAACCTTTGAAATTAGGCAATAAGTTCCTTAAGATCAGTAGCTTTCTCCGAAAGCTGAGAATTTTTTCTCTGTAAGAAATGAGAGAATTCAAAAGATAAAATAATCAAGAGTCTCCTCATTCCGCCCTTTGGAAAAAAAAACTTCAGAATGACTTTCACTGAATATTACATTTCTTTAGATCATGCTATTACCAAGATTACATAAAATATTAATGAAAAAAATTTAATCAATAATTAGACGAGATGGGAATGTTAAAATGACTTTTTTTTCGAAGAGTACGTACTCTTCTGGCGACCGCTAAACTGTTGGTTTTGTTCGGCCCACTGCTTCTCCATTGACTCCTTCAGTTGGTCAGTCAGGCCCTGGAATCAAGGATAAGGTTGCCATGCGAGGAACAAAAAAGAAAATCAACAACAAATTACAACCGCAAACTGTATCTGTCCTGGTATTTCTCAGAGGGGGTGGGGGTGGCTGAGGGGTTGAAGATAGTTTTAATCTCATTTTTACATGAATTATGGGGTCAGGCACATGCCACTGCGAGTCAGTCAAGTTGCTAGGGAGTCTCCAGGAGCTCATGGGAGACATTCTACATTCATTGTAATTATTTTTCCTTCAACGTCAAGGGCTCATTGTTAGACGTCGTGGGGTCACATTGATTGGTCTCATTGTTTTTGAACATTAAGAGATCTTTTTCAACAATTCACAAGGAAAAAAGTCGTTTTTTTTAGCGTGAAACGAGCAAATTGTGACACTGATGGTACTGGAACGATTTTTGGGCCCTCGACGACTCACTTTTAGTTCGCTTCATGAATTGCTCTGTTCTCTGTTTCCAAGTTTTCTCGTGGAGTTCAGCTAGAAGCGTGTCATAACCCTGCGATTTAATTGATCCTATTTACATTGAATCACTTTGGGGTGGATTTCTTTCAGAGTTTTTGTGAACGGTGGTGTCTGTCATTGGTCGATTCATCATTAACGGTGGCTTGTTCTTTATTTTATTTGTGAATGAACAAATAAAATAAAGAACATTCCCATTTATTGTGGTGACTCTACACGTGTCTTGTTGTGGTATACTTACACCCTCGAATAGTTTCTTCTTGTCATCGTAGGACCTGGTATCCACACGACGCTCGTATTTTGAGGCAACTTGGATCTTAGGCTGTAATTGGGAATTTCAAAGAATTTGTTATTTTGAAATTATGAGCCATTCGATGGTGAATGTTTTTGGGCTGAAATTCTGAGGATTTTCGTTATTTGAATTGAAAATTAATGGAAGTGACTAATATGCAGGTGATTACATTCTTGAATTGTCAATTGGAAATGCGAGGTAGTTCGTGAATTGTGATTTTCCTGCCGCTAAAAAAATTTTAATTTATTTTTCCCCCTGAATAAAATTTAATGTCATTCTCCTGCAAATGACAAGTCAACTGTATCTGAAATTTAAATTTTCTCTAACAGTGTTCATCACAATTTCATCAGAATTTGTGATAAATATCTCTAAATCTGGGAGAAATATTACAAGAATTATTATACTATCTTCTCTAATCAATTTAAGTAGAAGTGATAATTTAAAATAGCTGTTGATATTATTAAACTCACTGGGTATTTGCCGGTGAGGGCCTCAGGATCAAGACCCTTCTTCAGAGCCTTGTGCCTGAGCTGTTGCTTCTGCCTTTCCTTCAATTCTTTCAACTGAAAAAAAATCCCACGAATAAAGCTCGATCAATCGCGAATCCAGACAAATAGTGAAACAACTCTCTCCTCCCTGTATTTATGATTCTTACGTCGTAGTCCTGGCGTTTCTGGCGTTCCTCGAGATCGTACTTCTCGGTCTCCAGCTTGACGATAGCGTCCCACAGCTCCACCGCCTTGGAGCGAAGTCGCTCAATGGCGAGACCCTCGATTTCCAATGGCTTGATGCGAATGCTGAGGGAAATTTTCTTCTCCTCCTCGAGTTGTTCTTTCGTCTTGTTACGCTCAATTTGTGCAGAGGATAGGCTTCCCTTTAATCAAACATCACGCGACAATGTACAACTGGCTCTTTGGGGCTTATTTTTTGTCATTTGAGGCCTAACAACTCACAGAGAGATCTTTCTTGGTGATGGTGAAGTTGGGTCCCTTCTTGCTCTGGTCCTTGAGTGCTTGCATCATCGCCTGACGCTTCTTCTCCGATTCCTCCAGGCGCCTTCTCTTCTCCTCAATATCACGCTGTTTCTTCTCCTCTGTAATTTATTTTTTTTTGGCTCAATATTTTTTGTTTCACAAGGAACTTGCATGATGTTTTTTAAATCTCAAGTTTAGGCCTTAAATGATCAACTTTTCATTTAGAATTATTAGAAATACTGATTGTTAATTACGAGTTGATTTTCGAAAGTTTAAGATTTCAAGCGTTGGAAATTTTAGCTTCTTTACTTAATCGTAATTAATTCTGTTTATTCTATCACAGTAAAAACTGTATTGCTGTCTTGAACGTGTCTTCATAGTCAAAATAGTGTAGAAATTGTTTTTTACGGATTAGATTACTAAAAATTTTCTCCTTCAAACAACTCCTCCTACCACGATTATAAATCAGTAGCGAAGTGGTAAAACGATTTAAGTCGACTTATCTCTCGGTTGAGTTTTTGAGGAATATTTCCGAATCTAACGGAGATAGACAAATTTTGGTAATTACATTTGTTGGAGCGCTCAATTGGCTCTACAAAAAAGGTGGAAACAAAAATTTTGCTATCTCCCTTAGATTCCGAAATATTCATTGAAAACTGGTCGATAGTCAAAATTGACTTGTACCGTTTTACCACTTCGCTACTGAAATGAAATGTTACACCCAATGTAGAGTTTCAGTAATTTTTTTATTTCGTCAACGCCTCCCAAGCTACTTGGAGCTTTGACATGCACTTCTGTAAATTCGTTTTGGACTTATCCCTCTCACCACTCTCCCAGTGAATTTTCCCCAGAAAGACCAAATACTAATTTTCTCACCAATTTCACGCTGACGACGCTCCTCCTCCTCCTTCTTCTTCTGGGCCAATTTCTTCTCCTCCTCGGCGCGGCTCACCTTGCGTTTAGCCTGTTTCTCTTTGAGGCCTTTGAGCTCTTCCTCCTCCTTGGCCCTCTGCTGCCGCCACTCCATGATGTATTCTTTGAGCTGTTCATCGAGATCGCTTCTCTTCTGTTCTTGCCTCTGCGAAAATTTTCCCCCCAGATTAGGGATTAATCATCACAAACCCTTCGGTTTAATCCTCTTTTCGATGATCAATTAATCATACCTTCATGAATTCCGGATTCTCGGACGTCCTGGGTGAAGACAGCCGCGTGGAAAAAAACGGTTAATTTTAGTGGATAAATTCTCTTCCTAATTTTACAGAGAGAAATTGCCCAGCATTTTGCGAAGAATTTGCAGTTCTCACCTTTATATCACTCATAAATATTTGTTTTTTTTTTTCAAATCTGACACACAGACAAGAGTGAAAAACAGACAGGAGTGACAGAGATTATGATGAAGAGACAAAGAATGAGGGAACATGAGAGATGAGGGAAGTGTGTCTGACATGAGGGGATAAAGCGAATATTTACAGAGGCAGGGGAGACCACGGTCATCTTCTTGTGAAGAATGGCAAATTGGAATGGGGAAAACAGAAAAACGTGTTAACACCACGGCAAGTGGACACGAGTGTTAGCTCTCTGTCCTGCGACACTTATCAATGATTTCTGCGGTATATTTTTTTTTTCCACATGAATTATTTTTAACGCGCCCAGCAAAACTGCTATGAAATAATAATTCATAAATAAAATGAAAAATCGTGAAACTAAAAACGATTTATCTTGCATTATTTGAAGCTTTGAAGATCAGATAAGTGAGTCACTGTTGGGGGAGAAATGTTTTTAATATTTTTTTTTTCACAGGGGAAGGGACAAACAATTATATCATGACCCTCTCTATAGGGTTTTTTTTTATTTTGAGAGGGGTGAACAGTGAGGATTATGATTATTCACGGTTAAATACACGTCATGGTAACACGGAGCTTTCAACTTACTTTTGGGACGCCCTACCCCTATAAAAGAGAAAGCATATATTCATTAATACGAACTATTTCTACAATTTACCTTTATTTTGGCGGTTAAAGAGATTGTTTGACGTTTTGTTTACTGTTTTGTATGTTGGAATAACTTGTGGCACATTTGTTTGAGTGTGTGAGTGTGTGCATGGAGCGAGAGAGGGTGAGGATAGATCTGTTGGGGATGTGGAAATATTTGCGGCATTACCATCGACACAACAGCGACTTTTTTTTTGGATTCAGATGAAATGAGATTGGGATTCGTGAAATTGAAGAGAATGTAGTGAGGGAGGAGGGGAGGGTTTCTCTCGCCTGGGAGTGGAAGAAGAATATTCAATCGAATCATGAAATTGAGATGAATAGACAGTTGATAGATAGAATCAATCATTAGGTTCTGTTCAACTTTCTAGGAGTAACGATTAAGTGATATTTCTTTGCGAAATTCAACAACTGACAACAATTAAATGCACGGAAAGGAAATTTGGAGAAAAATTGGCCGGAAAATGTCGGAGATTTTTATGTTCGAAGGATAATCGTGGAGTGAAATTTTATTTGATGAAAAATAGTTTGAGTGGAGGATATTTTACGATTCGTTTAGTAGATAAATTGCATGTGTGGAGAATAAATTGAAGTTTTTTTGCAACGATGGTATCGACGTGGGAAGGGACGAAAGTGAAAATTCAGAGCACAGAAAAATTCGTAAATATTACAGTAATTGTTTACGTTTGTTGGCATAATTTTCTAGGAGATTTCAGGCAGATTTCCGAATTTTAAATGAAATTTCACTCCACGATTACTTGACATTTATCAGTAATTTTTCCTCAACTTTTTTCTCCATGCGTAAATCTAAAAAAATTAAACAACACGAGTACAAGCGTATATTTGCGGTTTTTTAATTGATTTGTTAACCGAGCGATACTCTCAGCTCTCAAAAAATCGGATTAATGAAAATAATAGGTGAAAATAGAGCAGAAGATAACATGAATTTACTTGACTATAATGTAGGCGAGAGAGTCAGATATTTAGCTACGACGATTATCACAATAAATTCTTTACAATCGTACTCAACAGCAATTTTATCATTTTTTTTGTACAAAGTGGACGACAATAGCAGCGATAGCTCAAAAATAAAATGTCAGAGGTACAGAAACAGAAGAGAGAAAGCGCGGACGGACAAGGCTTTAACCGAATTAATGAATTAATGAAGTGTAAATGAAAAATATGAAAAAAATTCAGAAAAAAGTATTGATTAATTTCAACAGACAGAGGCAGAGGCAAAGAGACAGGCAGACTGGAACTTACTCGACTTTTTTCTCGGGCTGCCTTTAATTGTCAACAATCAAGTCGCATTGCGTCGATTGGTGGTCGCAGGTGGATTTTTTAAAATTTTTGTTTGATTTTTTTTTGGTTTTGGTGAAATAGAGAAAGAGAGAAAAAACCATGGTCAGTAATTGGCTTATCTTGGGGGGGTGGGTGGATGGGGGGTTGATATTTCAATGAAATTCTTGATATTTTGGGCCTGTGTTGGGAAATTGGTAGAACTAAATGGTGCTGATTGCCTCGAATTCAAGAAATTGACGAAAACATTGTTAATTTTTAAAATTACTTCTTCAATCAGCGCGAGAAAAAACATTTTTCGTTTTGTGAGGAATAATTTCTAAAAGTCCCATTTTCACATGATTTTTCCTCAGGAATCCGACACAAAATTAGGGGCCTGAATTTTTTTTTTGACCGAAAACTCAACTTACAAAAATTCTCAAAATGTTTTTTTGAATATGATCCTCAATTGTCGTTCCGTAAATGGGGGAGAAGATTTTGAAATTTATTTCTTTATCGAAATTTGTATTAATATCTTGAGAAAACATTTTTGTTGTTTAAATATTGCGTATAAACTCCATCCATTTTCCATTTATTTTGCGGAAATTCATTCATTCCAATTGATGTTCCTACGAAGAATATGGTCGACCCATCGAAAATGACTTTTGTCGACGGCAATCATATCCAGAAAATAATTACAATGATTTAATTCAAGCGATCACAGATAATTTGGATCCGCTGAATCGAACTCGCGAGGAGAAATCAGGCGAAAAATTGTTCTTCGAAAAACGAAAAACTTTCTTTTTTCCCGCGTAAAACTCCCTCAAGCTTGACTTTTTGCCCGTAATAGATTCAATATTTCCAGCAATCTAAATTTAAAAATCATGAAATATCAATAAACGAAAAAGAGCTTTAGAAAACGACTTGCATACCATCAGTCGTATGACTGTGTCAGCACCATCCGGCCCCGGTCTCTATTTTCGTGATGGAAACACACGCTCTAATTATAAATTTGCTCTGGCCCCCGAGCATCATCATTCCACCACAAAAACGAGAGAGAAAATTTTAGTTATAGAAATCTTCAACAAGAATCCCACTCATCGTTCGCTGTTATGTTGCCACTCTGATTACGCAATTCGTATGGATTCCGAGGGAATTGAATACAAAGCCCACCCCTCATTTCCCCTCTCCCACCCCTCCCCTAATCCCCGTCGTTTTTTCGAAATTACTGACGCACGGTGGCTGTTGTCAATAAATTTGTACGAATGTGCTAATAATACAACACAAGTCTCAACTATTTATTTTATTTTTTACACTCTGAATATTAACTTGCGCAATTTGCTCTCTCGTTTCTGTTACAAAAATTTCTAATTTCACAATTTTATGCGTTTTTGATCTTTTTGAATTTCGATATTGATACATTAATTCGGGGCGATTGGGGTTTTTAACTACTGAACCTTTCAAGACGACTGGAAACTTACTTCCTGCAATGAAAATATCACGGCATTAGTATCATAATTAATTATATTCTCGTGACTATTTTTTGTCTTTTCGTTTTTAATTGACACTTACACTTCCTCGACCTCCTCCTCGCTGCTGTAATAGAGAAAAGAGGGAACGAGAAGTTAGTTACAGTGGATCATTCATGGTATCGATGGGTCTCTGGAGGGCAATTGTCAGTATCGAAAAAAAATTTACATATTTTCAGGGACAAAGGTATTGTTCCGGATTTCCATACAATTATGACACGTTATCGCATGCGACAATGAAAAACTGAGCTTCAAAATATCTACGATAAATAGAAATTATTTGTAATCTCTCCGATAATCTGAAAATGGACATTTTACACATTTTTCGATTGGTCTTTGGGGGGCAATTATTATTGTCGATAAAGAACAGATTTTTCCAGGGGCATTTGGGTACAGAGAAGGGCACAAAGATATTGTTCTGGATTTCTACACAATCATGACACGTAATCACATGCGACAGGAAAAAACTAATCTTCAAAATTTCTATGATAAACGGAAGTAGTTTATAATCCCTTCGATAGTCCGAAAATGGGCATTTTATACAGTTTTTTTCGATGGGTCATTCGTGGTGTTCATTAGTGTCTAGAGAGCAATTATCATTATAAAAAAAATGAGATTTTTCTAGGGATTGATCTTCCAAAAATTTCCACGATGAATAGAAATAATTCGTAACCTCTTCGATGATTCAAAAATATACATTTTTCTCAGTTTTTCTCGATGGGTTCAAGGTCTCGATTGATCTCCGAGGAATAATTTAGCATTATCGACGAAAAAAAGGAGATTTTTCCAGGGACTATGGAAATAATTATTATTCTGGATTTCCATATGATCATGACACGTAATCACATGCGACAATGAAAAACCTAATCTTCCAAATTTCTACGATAAACGGAAATAATTCGTAATCTCTTCGATAATTCAAAAACGGGTATTTTCCTGAGATTTTCTCGATGTATTCGTGATATCGATTGATCTCCGAGGAGTAATTTATTATTATCGCTAAAAAAACGAGATTGTTCCAAGGACTATGGAAATAATTGTTATTTCCATATGATCATGACACGTAATCACATGCGACAATGCAGAAACTGATCTTCGAAATTTCTACGATAAATGGAAATAATTCGTAACCTCTGCGATAATTCAAAAATAGGCATTTTCCTCAGTTTTTCTCAGTGGGTTCAAAGTATCGATTGATCTCCGCAGGGTAATTTATCATTATCGCTAAAAAAACGAGATTGTTCCAGGGACTGTGGAAATAATTATTGTTCTGGATTTTTATACGATCATGACACGTAATCACATGCGACAATACAAAAACTGATCTTGAAAAATTTCCAAGATAAATGAAAATAATTCCTAATCCCTTTGATAATTTAAAAATAGGAATTTTCCGTAGTTTTTCTGGATGGAATCATAGTATCGATTGGTCTCCGTTAATTTATCATTATCGACGAAAAAAAAGATTTTTCCAGGGGCTTTCTACAGAGAATGGCGCAAAGGTATTTTTCTGGATTTTCATACGATCACGACACGTAATCACATGCGGCAATACAAAAACTGATCTTGAAAAATTTCCAAGATAAATGAAAATAATTCCTAATCCCTTTGATAATTTAAAAATAGGAATTTTCCGTAGTTTTTCTGGATGGAATCATAGTATCGATTGGTCTCCGTTAATTTATCATTATCGACGAAAAAAAAGAGATTTTTCCAGGGGCTTTCTACAGAGAATGGCGCAAAGGTATTTTTCTAGATTTTCATACGATCACGACACGTAATCACATGCGACAATGAAAAAACTGATCTTCAAAAATTTCCACGACAAACGGAAATAATCCCTAATCTCTTCGATAATCCGAAAATGGGCATTTTGCTTCGTTTCTCTCATTCCTCCCGCGGAATTCTTCACTGAATATTTGCTGCATACTCACGAGTATTGCTCCTCGTCGTCAGACATGTTGGGGAGTGGTTATGGATTCTGAAATAAATAAAAGGCATTGTCATTTATTTAATCATGAATACCAGAAACCCCAGGAGGAGTTTATTCAAGCAATAAACATGAGACGAAACCCCTGAGGGAGTAATTCGATACGTCGACCGAGTGATTTGCTGAGCCTAGCCAGTCTCGATAAGTGAACACGGCCTCAAGCTCTATAAGGAGAGTCTGACCCCTTCCTCAAACATTAAACTCGGGTACCAGAACTAATTTTAGACGTTGGTGCGCGCGTCCCGGCGCCTGTTCTCCCATTCGAAAAAGAAAATCGGCACCAGTAAACTAAATCCTGCATCTCTAAATAAATAACTGAAACAGCGATCCTAAAAGGCAATGGATCCTCCCAAAAACTGGATAAAGCGTCCTCCAACGATTTTTCCGACTACTGCATTCACCAAAATCCCGACTGATAACTCGAAATAAACCGGATCAATCGGCTTATATCGATGGAATTACTGTTAATAATAATAGAAACCCGATGTTAATTGAAATTCTACCATAATCCAGATTGGGGTATACTTAGTGGTAGAGCCTTCCGAGGTCGCCAGAAGGCTCTTCAGTTATTCAGATCGTATGACTAGCTGATGAACAGACCGAGTTTTTGGGTCAAACGTTAATTCAGATTGTAAATCAACGTCACGAGCGCTCTCGTGATTATTGTTAATTCAATGATGAATACAAGAATGAGTTAATCGTAATGGGACTGTAAATAATTTGTTTCACTAAATTCCCAGGGAATGCTCGGCCACACAAATACATCAGCAAACCACTCCTCACTAATATTTCATTTCAACTCCACTCAGAGAGAAGAATACAGACATTGAGTCTCAATGAATTATCACATCAATCACATGAATTAGCGATGAAATTCGATCACTCACGATAAATCGATAAGTATCGATCACTGATAAATCAGTGTTTAATGAATGATATCTGATCATCTGACAGACTTACACTCGGGGGGAGAAAAAAAACTAAAATCCCTCGATTCTTCGGGGAGTATCTTGTTGAACGTAAAATCCGCACACGCACGGGAGAGCGTTTTCCGGTGGAATGTGGCGTTCGCAACAGTTACAGCGGCTCTGAAGTCCGACCTCTTCGCCCTCGGCCAGAGACTCAAACCCAATCTACCATCTCGCTCGTTATTTCTTTTTTCTTCCCAACTCTTCTTCCCTCCAACTTCCCCTCCCTTCTTTCTTCTTCACATTATTTTCTGTTTCTTTCAAAGCCACCACAACACTCCCTCCACCACCTTCTGTTCACCTTCCTCCACGCCTTCTTCGTGAATTTCTAATAATAAAATAACCCCAACACAGTCTCACAACGAGAATGCACGAGTCAACTGAAACTTTGTCTTCATCATCATCATCATCCACGGTTTTCAACGATTCTCCTTCGCGCATAACCCATGGTTTACTATTTCAGGGTGATGAAAAAAAAAACATTTTCAAGAGCCCCCATGTCCTCGGAACTCGCCCCCTCGTCAGATCTATTACCACACGAACCATTGGAGGACAATTGAAATTTTATTCCAATAGCCTGGAGAACTTCTGGTGTTTCATTTCATTTTTATGGTTCACTGTAAAACCGATAATTCTGGGCAATTTCAGAAAGACCTGGAGGTATTCAGGAATCCTCGGTGGTCTTGGCTATTTCCTTCTCGCGATATTTCAGGAGTATTTTCAATGATTGAAAATTATTTTCAATTCTGGACGGGGGATAGAATTAAATTGAAGCTCCCTAGAATTTTTGATAAGGTATCATTCCCTCATTTCATTCGCTGTCAAATATAGAAACATGCCAGGTCATAAAGACCAAATGCTCAGAGTGTACCACCCGATAAGTCGGTCGTATTACCACCACCATCTCCACTCATCGCTCATTCGACTCGTCTGTAGAGTGAAATAAAATAACTACATCGATGATATTATAAACTGGGGTGTTTCGGTAACGTTGAAATGAGAGACGATATGGGCGTCAGAGTTTTAGGGTATTGAGACATCGGCATCTATGGAGAGGAGTGGAGTGCATTAGCTGATTGATACAGTTGATTTAAAATGTAATTTTCTGTATCGGCAGGGAGATTGATCGATGAATGATGAAAATTGCGGGGATTGGGAGGCTCGAGGTGGTGATGAGTGAGGAGAGGGTGGTGCGACGGAGGTGAGAGACGCTTTCGACCCCAGTGGGCTCCATATATGGCGGCCGCTCTGGGGTCTTGGGGGAGGGCGCAACGTGCGCGAGAATATAGAGTTGCGTTGCTCCACTCGTGTGAGGACTATGCCAATGGGCCAAAGCTCTGATCTCTCGTATTAATGTCTTCATTTTCATAAGGGAAAGCATTTCGGGGATTTTGAAAGGCTTTTAGTCACGAGCTCGGGGTAATTGGAGTTCGATCGGTGGATTCGATGACTCGAAGGGATTGATTGGGAGGAATTGATTGACTATTCTTGCAAATGTTATTTTTAATTTTTTTTCAATTTTCATAGACAAGAAATGATGAAGTTCAGTCATTGTGGCGAATAATTGTTCATTTATTTCGAGGGGATTCAAGGCAAAATGGCAGGGAATATTTTCTGGGGTTGATTCAATGTAAGAATTAATTGAGATAATTGGGACTTGAGTCATTCCATTCGTGAGAACACTGACAATGGGCCAAAGCTCTGATTTCTCGTATTAATGTCTTCATTTTCGGAAGGGAAAGCATTTCGGGGATTTCGAGAGGCTTTTAGTAACGTGCTCGGGGTAATTGGAGTTCGATCGGTGGATTCGATGACTCGAAGGGATTGATTGGGAAGAATTGATTGACTATTCTTGCAAATGTTATTTTTAATTTTTTTTCAATTTTCATAGACAAGAAATGATGAAGTTCAGTCATTGTGGCGAATAATTGTTCATTTATTTCGAGGGGATTCAAGGCAAAATGTCAAGGAATATTTTCTGGGGTTGATTCAATGGAAGAATTAATTGAGATAATTGAGATTTGAGTCATTCCATTCGTGAGAACACTGACAATGGGCCAAAGCTCTGATTTCTCGTATTGGTGTTTTTATTTTCATAAGGGAAAACATTTCGGGGATTTCGAGAGGCTTTTAGTAACGGGTTCGGGGTAAGTGGAGTTCGATCGGTGGATTCGATGACTCGAAGGGATTGATTGGGAGGAATTGATTGATCATTCTGGCACATGTTATTTCGATTTTTTATTTTCTTTATTCAATTTTTTTTTGACAGCAAATGATAGAGTTCAAGAAAAATGTCAAGAAATATTTTCTGGGGTTGATTCAATGTAACAATGAATTGAAATGAGTTGGGATTCGAGTCATTCTATTCGTGTAAACACTGACAATAGGCCAAAGCTCTGACCTCTCGTATTAATGTCTTCATTTTCATAAGGGCATTTCAAGGATTTCAAGAGAATTTAGCAATATGTTTTGGGTAATTAGAGTCCGATCGGGTGAATTGAATGGCTCGAAGTGGTGGATAATTGGTAAGAATTAATTGATGATTTAAAGAAATTACAAATTTCAATCGTGGCACAAGCTGATGCGTTTTCAGGATTAATTATTTATTGATTTTCTGTGGATTCAATATCTCTTGATAAACATATTAAGATACATCAGTTGAAACAATATAACAACAAATTTTTAAAAGGCGACAATTAATTGAAATGATTTGAAGAAATTACAGATTTCCGTTGTTGTGGCATAAGTCAATAAGTCTCATTTGTTTTCAGTGGATTCAATGTATCTTGATAAAAAAATCAGATACATCAGTTAATTCATTTGCCATTTAGTTTTCAGAAGACAGCAATCAATTAAAATAATCTGAAATTCAACTCACCACTGCTATTTTCTGATGCTCGGTAGTATAGGCCTTTTAAACGGTCGATCTCTTCCTCCAAATCTCAATTGGCCCGACCCCTTCTTTCCTCCGAAGCCGCCACCTCAACGACAATCAGAACAAAATTTTTATTTTTGAAACGACTCAGACGTTTCTAAAATAAACACGTTTTAAAAATTTACCCAATCGTCTCGGTTTCCAGCCTTTCATCGTTCTCCCACACTCGTGGTCGACGAAAATCTTAGACCCACGTAAATTGCCCTCATTTAATCGTCTGACAGCTCTTCGTGCTTCTTCTTCACTAGACATCTCGACGAAACCGTAGCCCTGCGACTCTCCCGTTACTACATCGAGGATTATTTTCACGGATTTTACGTCGCCGACAGTCGAAAAATACTGGGGAAAAATTAATTAAAGATTTTTTTAGGGTCAAGAAACCTAAAATCGATGGAGGAAATTGAAAGGGACAATTTAGTAGCTGAAGGATGAACAGGACCAGTCAACTTTGAACCTATTTTTTAAACATTTTCTCAAACAAGTCTCGTTGGAACCAAAACAATCGCAAGTTCAAAGTTATCAAGAAAAATCTAGTGCTGACCATTGAAAAAATTTTCAATCCTGAGATCGAAAATTTTTGTCGCAAAAGTAGATTTCACTCAATTCATTTTCATTTTCTAACACTAGACACAAAGGTCTGAAGCTTCAACGACATAGACCCTGCTCATTCCAATGAAATTTAGATTATCAATTATTTTACTATTTTTTAATTTCGAAGAATATAAGTAATCCTTAATCAATGTAGGGTTCAAATGATCAATGGCTATTCCTGCCACTGAATAATTTTCTATAGATCCTATAATATGTTTCTATAAGCAATATAGTTTCTCCCATAAATTCCTATTCATTTTTCCACAATTAAGATGGATATATAATTTACTATTTCGTAAACTCAATTCACCAATTCATTTTTCACACGATTCTAATCAGTTTCTTATGCACACAAATTTAATTTTTTAATTTACACTAAATATAGGTTTATATATGTCAAGTATTTGTCTTGCCATTAAATTCCCATTGGCCTAGCCATCAAATGGACATAATAGGTCCTCTCATGGATTCCCATTCGCCTCTGGACTACTACCCCCCAATAGGAATTTATGGTGTTTTGCCACTGGCACCCTATGTTTGCCCACAACATTGCTCACTTTTACTGGACTCTAATAGGAGATTATCCCGAGGGTAGTTTTTAAAATTGTAAAAACGATTGAAAACAATTTATTCTCACATCATTCAACTCTCGTTCATCAATTTTTGCTCCAAATCGTGCGACAAATAGTGTTCTAGATGGATTAGCTTTCAAGCCTTTAGGGGGCTCGTAATGCGAGTTAATTGCTCTGGTAATTGCTTTATCGTGGGGTACTGTGTCGGTGCTGTCAATGCTGCCGGCTTTCAGGGGATCATATTCCTTCGCATAGGCACTCCAGTCCTTCAGGATATCAACGTCCTTCAACGAAATTTCATAGAATTAACAAAAATCTACTGGATAAGGTATTTATTTATTGCTGAAGCTGTTTATTATCGTCTCACCATTTTTCGCCGTTATTTTTGAGGTTATAAGAAGGTAATGAAAGTAGTAATTAAACCCTTGATGACGCTCTAATTATAACGATAACAATTAGAGCTATTTTGTTTTACGAATCAGTCATCAAAATTTTTTTTTTACTTTCTAAAATCGTTTTTGGAGCAGAAATAATCTATTGTTGATGACTTGTTGACATATATTGACAACAACAACACTGAAACTTTCGTTCATCGCCATCTGCACTAATTTTTCGTAAGTTGCTTCGAGAAATGACAGCGAGCGCGACAAATTCATGATAATTTAAATTGAAATCCTGAGAAGTTTATGAGACTTTACAAAACTCCAATTATTCGATGAAATAGAACCTAAACGCATAAAAATACTGAAACACTTTATTAAAATATTATTTATTTGGTTATTGTTTTCTTCAAAAAATACAATAACCAAACAAACCGATAATTCTTCAGAATTTTCTTCGACGAGTTGTAAAAAATAATAAACTCCAAATGGAAAAAGGAAAAAATGCCCAAACAAATGTTCCAGCGAATTTCATGGGGGGATCCCCATATAGTGACATTGGTTAGAATAGCGAGTCGGTAATCTGAAGGCTGTGGGTTCAAATCCCCGTCGTCATTACTGCACGCACTCTTCATTTAATTCACTTTTCTTTCGATGACATATTGACATGATCAAACAAATTCCATCAGGCGAAGGTGACACTAGATGTTACAAAATCACTAGATTTACAAAATCCCGATTATGCGATTAAATGAAACATAAAACGCATAAAAATGCTGAAACACTTTATTAGATTTTTCATACAATACAATAACCAAATAAACCGACAACTCCTCACGAAATTTACATCACACCAGTCATCACCGAGAAGACACAAATAGCACTCCCTCAGACGAGTTGTAAAAAATAATAGACTCCAAATGGAAAAATGAAAGATCCCCAAGCAAATGTTCGGACGAATGTCCCCTAGAGAAGATCGACATTGATGTGTGCCCCCATTCGATTGAGCGCGAGAATGGTGTTGACAGCTTTGACCCAGCGTTTCTTGATGACATACCTCTTGAGCCTGACCTTGGATATGGGATTCTCAAGAGCGCCAACGAGCCAGCGGTGCTCCTGAAGCTGACCGGCGCTGGGCCTCTTGCTGGAATAATTCAAAGTACAATTCAAATCACTGATTTATTAACCTAATCCAAACCAAATCCACGACACAGTATCTCAGATCTCTCGTCGCATCGGATGGAAATTACCAGAATAATTCAATCCTTAAACATAACTTAGGAATCATCAACGATGGATGACCGATGAGTTCGAGACAGCAGTCTTGATGGATTTCTTCTGCTCAGATTGGAAATATTCAGCCAGAGAGTTGATAGACCTCCTGGCAATCGAGTCCTCAACCCAATCAACACTGATACTCTTCCTCCCCTTGCCACTCCCAGGTCTCTCCTCCCACTCCCCCAGCAATTGCAGCAACAGATCCTTCGTACTGGTCGGTTCATCGAAGTCAATACTCTTGTGCAAATCTCGTAGATTCGAAATCCTAGGAACATCCCTGCAGGTCTCCCCAAACCTGCGTTTTATCCTGGGCTTCCTCCAGGGTGGAGTCAGGTCAATCTCCCCATTCTCCCTCGTCATCTCCCTTTCCTTATCGCAAACCAGCAGTTCATCCCTCATGTCTGACCTCCAACTCCTCGGCGTTCTGCTCTCCTCCTCATTCCTCGTGTTCTCCCTGCTCAATAGCGCTTCATTCAACCTTGAGGATGAACGCTTCAAGGTGAATGTACCCGAATTACTCTCCTGTCTCTCGTAATGCCTGCTACCATTGAAAGTCGTGCCATTCAATTTTCTCTGGCGCGTTATTGTCGATAGTTTCTCGGAAATCTCATTAACTTCACTATTACTATCTCTATCCAGTAATCTAGACTTGAGCCCATCAGCGCTGCTTTCCCTCGTTTTTTTTTCGCTGAAACTCGCCGTCTTCTCCTCAACCGTCTTCATCATTTCTGATGGCACCTCGGCTCTCCTTATCTTCTCACCAACGAGTTTCGTTTTAACTTCCTCTTCTCGCTGAGTGGATGATGACGCAGCGATCGAGCGCAGGTGTTCCGATAGTTTTATTATTTCCTCGGCTAGGACTATTTGGGCGGCTGGATCGCGGGAGTTTGACGCCTTGGAATTTCCCTCTGAGGCGCGTCTCTCGAAGCCGAGGGTTGGGATGTTCAATATTGTGGTGTTTCGAGGGGTGTCCGATACCTCTGAAGCACTGCTGCAGATGCTCTGAGGCGGCGAAGGACTCTGACCACTCAGGGACATGGATTCAACTTTGTTGAGGACATTAGAGTCCAGTGATGCCAGGGTGTCGAGGTGCTCCAGCATGTAGGGACTGTTTGGGTGCTCCCTCCAACGCTCTACGAACAGTCTCAAGTTGTCCTTTGTCACGTCTAAAACAGTTGGCTTCACCTTCACTGGCTTCTCCTTCACCTCAGGCTTCTTCTTCTTTTTCTTCTTCTTCTTTTTCTCAACTTCCTTGACTTCTTCCTTGGTCTCCACCGACTTCTTGACAACTGATGCACCCGGGTTCACTATCCAGGGGTGCGTCTGGCATTGAGCCGCTGTGGCTCGCTTTCTGCAAACATTGTCAGGTTTTTTTTGGATTTTAGGCTTTAGAACATGGATTTTTTATTGGTCTTTCGTGCTCTTGATTTTTATTTTTCTTCGGTCCATCAATTAATTGGTTTTGATTGACCTTTTATCATGCTTGGACGGTCCTTACGGTTGATTCTATGGTGCTGTTCATCGGCGGTTTTGATTTTGATTTTTTTTTTCGGTAAATGAGAGTTGAGATTGACGGATTCAATAGAGAATCGGCGAGACAAGAGATCTGTGTCACTGTGAGATGGTTTTATTAGTTTGATTGATCAAGTTTTTGAGGTAAAAATTCATTCTCTGCGGTGGTGCGGGTGCATTTAATTTTTACTGGTAATTAATGCTGAGTTGATGATAATTATGAAGAATAGTTGAGTTTTTTTTCTTTAAATGAATTTTTATCTCGTGAGTTATTGACGTGATGATGATGAGATGATTGGGGGAATTACAGAGCAACGAAAGACACTTTTGGGGACGACAAACTACGATCAACTGTGTGAGACAATTCTAAGAAAGTTATTTACACAATTTATCGATGAATTAAGCATTGAGTTTTGGCGAAATAAAGAATCCTCACTCTTTGTCCTTTATCAGGAGGGATCTGATGAAGTCTTTGGCGTCTTCGGAGATGTCGGCGAAGGCTTCGTGATCGAAATCGTACTTGGCTATTGTTACGTTTGCCATTGTCTCGACGTCAGTGTCGCCCATGAATGGAGAGAGACCAGAGAGGCTGGAAAATATAATTGTGCTGTGAATTTGAGAAAATGTTGGATTAAATACCCAGCGGAAGGGTGAATGGGGTTGAGTCGGAAATTGCACAAATATTCTTCAAATATTCGTTACGCTGTTGGAAATAATTGAAAATTCATGAACAATGGACTCTTTGAATTGAATATTTTCCATTGTACATTTCTGTTGAATGGAAAATGCACAGATAAGCCGCGGATTTTTTTAACAAATTGGCTAATAGCTATAATAGAAAATTCAATAGAAATCCAATTGAATTTTCGATCGATTTCGATTTAGGGAAAAGGGAATTTTTAATTTTCACGTTTCACTGAAAATTTAATCGAATTTCAAATTTTTCAACAGCAACACTTAAATTCCTCAACTTAAATATCAAATACCAAATATCGAATATCAAATACTGTCACGCGATGTTTTTAGTCTATGAAATACTAAAAATAATTCACAGATTTGTTGTGCAACGAGTGAATTATTAAAAAGAACTTTACATGAATTAATTTTGGTTAGGGTTCAGGAAAAACACTACAAAAAAGGTTCTGTAATGTTTTTTCCTAAACCCAATGGTTTGTGAGATTTTTTGAAAATAGTTATTGAAGTGAATTTCGTCGTCAGTTATTCCCCTTCCGCTGTCGAAAAAAATTTCCTCCGATAAATCATTACAGAACATAGCAGATGACGCCAATACTCCACATGTCAGTTCCATAGCCAATCTCGTCGAAGTTAACGACCTCCGGCGAAACGAATTCAGGAGTGCCAAACAGCACCTGAAGTTTCTTCTTTGGATCATACTCCCTCGCCAGCCCAAAATCAATGATTTTTATTCTGTTGCCCTCTTTCGTCAGGCACAAAATATTCTCCGGCTGCAAAAAATGAATGATCATTTTATTAAATCCAACTAGCGTGTTTAGTGGCCCGACGTTAGGCGGTCCAATTTTCAGTTTCCCGATAGGGAGATATTGTAATCGTTTTTATTGAAATCGACATTTGGACGATGAATGCACGAAAATTCTAGAATATTCTGAAATGTTGTGAAACACTTTCAATTATGAAGGGTCTCGTAGGTAAATTCTCAAATCAATGAAGAAGCTGTTATAAATTTATGTAATTTTTTGGGGGTTCTCAGAATGGCTTGGGATATGCTAGAAAGAATGACCGAAGCTTGAAGAAATGAAGAGCTTTCTAGACGATTGCCGAATTCACCAGAAGATTCTGTACTGTTCTGGACCATTCTAGAATTTTCTAGAACTTCCAATAATTTTCATGAAGGCCGAGTAATCCTGGAGGATTTGCCCAATCATTCTCAAATTTTCTAGGAACGTCTGTACCGGTCTATTCACGATTTCGCAGAGAAATCGACATCTCATCCTTTTAGTTCCTTGAAACGTGCGGAAACATTTTCGTTTGTGAGGTAATTTTTACATAATTTTATGATAAAATTAATGCAAAAATTTCCTCGCAGAAAACTTCTGTATCGTTCTAAAGTTTTTTTAATAACTTTCTAAAACTTTCCGTGATTTTCCAAAGCATTAGCTTGCGAATTAATCGCGAAATTCCTAAAAATTTCTAGAACATTATCAAGTTGTCTGGACAATTCTGCATCGTAAAATTGGAGAGTTTTCCAGACGATTTGCGAATTTTCCAGAGGATTCAGTACAGTTCTGGGCGTTCCTCGAATTGTCTAGAACCTTTCATGATCTTTCGGAGAAACGGACACCTTAAATTACAGACTAAGCTAGCCATTGAAAGAGAAATCCACCTTCATATCCAAATGAAGAACATTCTGTGCGTGAACGAACTCAATCCCCTCGCAGATCTGTCTCATGAAGACCGCGCAGCTCCTCTCAGTCAGATAGAAATCATCGTCGATGACGCGTTCAAAGAGTTCTCCACCCTCGATAAGCTCCAAGATGACGTAAAATTTTTTGTCATTATCAATAGCGTCGTACAATTGGATTAGCCGGGGATGCTGGAGTCTTCTCATTATCTCCACCTCTCTCTCAACATCCCTACGATCTTCCTTCTTTGTTGTATTGACGATCTTTGCGGCTAGTCTCAGTCCACTCTGCTTCTCCTTACACTGATACACCGTTCCGAATTTTCCACTGTATAGAAACAAAAGCTATGAATTCCGTCGCCTTTACACGGAAATTTTGTCATTGTTGAATATGAAAGTTGAATGAAACATGTCGGACTCGTATGTATTTTTATCAATAAATAATAAAAAAAATAATCAATACAGTAGCGAAACGGTAAACCGGGTTTTTTATGAGTATTTCGGAAACTAAGGGAGATGGCAAAATTTTTCTCATGACCTTTTTTATAACCTTCAGTTGGCTCTACAAAAAAGTTTATGGCAAAAAATTTTCTATCTCTTTTAGATTCCGAGATATTCGTCAAAAACTGGCCAATAGTCAAAATCGACTTGACCCGGTTTACCACTTCGCTACTGAATTGTAAAGATGATTGTCTAACAAATTTTATAGAACAACTTAGTAAATTCGCTAAAATTTCGATTGCGTTTCGTCTGAATTTATATTGATAATTCTATTATTTTTTCGCGGATTCTCTTGAAAAATTCTGCAGTGTCCAATAGAAAAAGTTGTATACAAAGATAAAATTCTACTGATTTATTCTATCGAACCCATTCTATGGGACAGTTTCTTTTTAAAAAATGCACAAAAAAGCTGCAGAATTTTTAATGAAATCGGCGATAAACTGATAGCATTTCCAAGGAAAATCCAATAGAGTTTTCTTCCGAATTCTCTAGGTTGTTCTATGAAATTTTCCACGCCTAATTCAATTTACGTGTTTGATAATGTTATTGTACAAAAAAGTTCCACAACATCTTGAAAAGTGATTCAAATAAATTCATAGCAGTCAAGAACATTTCATAAATCAACAACTCGACATGAAATTGCGGAATAAATTTCTATTTCGTTGCAATTTCTCATGTTACCTTCGAACATATTTTAATGTATCAGAGGCGTCAGATAATCCGTGTTATTCGTGCCAAAAGATTAAAAGGAATTTGAATAAAATCAAATGTTCCTTCAGAATGAATCCAAGTAGAATAGCATTGGCAGAGCCAAAAATCATTTTGCCCCATCTCTCTCTCGGTCTTTCATCTTGAACCTCCCGGTGTCAAGTGCAGAAACCAAAGCCAGGATGTTTAAACGTTCACAATAACACATTTACCTAACAAATAGTATCAGTGTGAATTGGGAAGGGGGGATAACCGGCATTAGAGAATGGAATCCAATCGGCACGCAGACCAGTCGTCTTTCTACGACACGTTGTACACGCATTATTTATAGAAAGAGACCTTGATTACCCAAACACAGGACGCCCACCAGGTCGATCTCACTCTTTTTATTTTTGATGGGTTAGACGAGGATGGAGTGGGGAAATAATTGTTCAAGACACGCGGTGTTTTGCATTCCAATACGATTTATAAGTGCAAAATGGAATTAGGTTGCATCATTTTTACTTGTGGAAATTTTTCATTCTTTTCATTTCACAACCACACGTGAGACAAATTTCACAGGGGAACCTGGTGAATCCGATAGAATTCCTTTGCTTATCTGATGAATTAAGTTCGTCGAACATTCCATTAGTTTTTGGCCGATTCTGTTGGAGAATTCCGCGGTTTCACTGCGCCTTTTTTGGTAGAAAATGTCCAATAGAAGATATTTCATAGAAAAATCGGTAGAATTTCATATTTCTAGGCAATTTTTTCTGCTGAGACATTTTCTATAGCAGTTCCTCAACAACTTGAATTTTCCAAGTTTTTTCTACTCTATTTTTGTCCTTTCTTGATTTAAAAATCTAACGAAAAAGTCGGAAAATTTCAGTCGCGGAATTTCTATAGAATCGGCCAAAAACTAATAAAAAGTTCACCAGAAATCCAATGGTATTTCCTGGCAAATTCGCTAGGTTTTTGCATTTCATACCCACGAAAAAAAATATGGAAAAACATAGCCAATTCAATATAAAATTCTATTGAAAATTCCATTAGTTTATGACCGATTCTGCTGTCGAATACCGCAGCTACACTGCGCTTTTTTATTATAAAAAATGTCCAATAGAAAATATTTTATAGAAAAAATGTTTTTCTATTGAGACATTTTTTATAGCAATTGTTTAACACGAATTTTCCATTTTTTTCTACTCTATTTTTCTTCTCTTTTCATTTAAAAAATATTTTTAAAAACTTGGCAAATTGGAGTCGAGGGAAAGTTCACTAGAAATCCAATAGAATTTTCCAGCAAATTTACTAGGTTGCTGCAATGTTATAACCACACGCGCAAAAAAAATTATGGAAAACCCTAGAGTATTCGATATAAAATTCTATTGAATTTCTATTGAAAATTATATTAGCTTATAGCCAATTCTATTGTCGAATACCGCAGCTACAGTGCGCTTTTTGACTATAACAAATGTCTAATAGAAAATATTTTATAGAAAATCTTTTTTCTATTGAGACATTTTCTATACCAATTCCGTGACATCAATTTTCCAGGTTTTTCCATTCTATTTGTCTCCACTTTTCCCTTGAATCCTCAATCGAAAAAACTTCTTACGGCGCAAAGAAAAATTGAATTCTATCGATTTTTTCTTCAGAATATTCTGCATTAAAAATTATATTGAAAAAAACCCACTCATAAGTTGCGAAGTATTTGAACAGAATCGGAAAAACCAAAAGAATGTTCAATAAAAATGAAAGAGAATTTCCCATCAGTCAATTCGCCGGATTTTTCTATTAAATATTTTCACATATATACACGACTTCTTCCAATATTTTTTCACGCATCTTTAGGGGCGTCTGTCATTCTGACAGGCGTCCCTAACCGATGACATACCACCGAGAGTTGTGCCAATGATTTCATAATTTTTGGAGGATTCTGGACTTTTTTCCCGGGGGAGGGGGCGATGAGGTATGTCAGGGTGTAACACCTCGGCTTTTCTTTCATTAGTCAGTCGAGGACACGGGAAACATTGGCAGTGAGTCACTGCGGAAATGACAGCTGAGCTTCCTCAGTGATTTTTCAATGACTCTCCGGTTATTTCATGCCAGAGATTCTTGGTGCGGACGGATTGACTTTACAACCCGATGGCTCATTAAAAATCTAGATTTTGGAGGGGAATTTTCGAATGATTTTGTTTATTCTTTTGGGAATGCGAACGAATTGTCTGCCCCATTTCCTAGTTTATTGAGTGTTAAATTAGATTTTTACGAGTCTTCGTGTTATCGTGTTCAACTGTGCATTGCGCTCTGATGATCTTGGGAGATTTAGAGATGAATTTTTATTACTACGCATTTTAAATCCACTTCGGAATGCTTCTCTTCACCATGGAAACGAGGGAATTCCTTTCAATTGAATCAATTACAGGACTCGGAATTCATTGGCCAGAGTGGTCTAGAAGATTGATGTTTACACTGCCAAATACAATTCGCAGCGCAGTGTGCCGATTATAATTAATCGACTAATGCCCTCCTGCCCTTGACTTCAGGAGCGAAATTGACATGTTTTGACGGGCGGAAAGCGTCACGCGACAGAAGGTCGCAACGGAAAATTTAAAAGAAAAACAGAACTTAAGAGATTGTAGTTTCAAAAATATGATATGCCACAAGGAAAAGAAATTTTTTTTTAATTCACGGAGTCATTAGTGAACTTCAAGAACTAGTGGTTGAAAAATTCAACTATTTTTATGCGTTTTTTTACGAATGCTTTTTCTTCTCATTTTGACCTTTGCAGCATTTTTTCCCAAGTGCTATTTCCGCTTTCCGAGGTGTTCCCTCGTGGTCACCACTCCACGTTCCACTTTTTCCTAAATTATTCAATTTTTTAACAATTCATTACACTTCACTTACCGACCAAGTTCTGTTTGGAGGTCGTAATGATCTTTGAAGTTAACACGACGAACTACCACATCTCGGTATGGAAATGGTGGCTCAATTTCTGTGGATTAACGAATTGTATGAATCAGTGAAAACCATTCAGTTACGAAGTGATTGAACAATGAGTCAATTTTCCTTCGAAATCAAGAATCTTCGTGAGGCCCTTGCTCCTAGCTTTCATTTTCCTCTCTAGAGACTCGAGGATATTTATCGATAACTGATTTCAACCCGAATTCTCGCATATTGTTCCAACACTTCACTACTCTATTAACGAATAAAATCGGTAAATTACGAACAATTTCATTACATCCGTTAGCGAATGAATACGATACAATTTGAAAATAACGATAATAGAGATTATTGATATGTTCTCCTGGCTGCCGAGGAATGCGACCGAAAAATCTAAAAAAATCTTACCGCCAACTGGATCAGACTCGTCGACCCGAATCATTTTCAAGTCTCTTCCGGGTGGCCGGAAGTCCCCAATAAAATTAGTAAAACAGAGAAAAAAATTGATCCGGGAATTTTAATTTAATTTCAGTATCAATGAGTTCTTTCCGTGGATGAACAATTCAGGAACTCCTCCATCAATGAAAGCGAATTAATTGGATATGACTCGACGTGTTGCTGCCCGGCAGCGATTATTGACTATCGCGTTCGAGTTTTGAGGGGGTCCCAGCTCGGGCAAGTTTCTTCTTCCTCTCGGCTCGGACGAATTTAGATTTTCCGAGCGGACGCCACGGATTCTGGTGGCAGTCACGTGGTATCCATACCAGGCTTATATGCCTCATGAATATCTCTCGCTCTAGCACATTCATTTTCCCTCTGAGATCCCAGTATTTTGGTGTTTCTTCTAATGGTTTGTTCGGCGCTCTCTCTCTCACTGGGAGAGATCTTCGGTGAAGCAGTCCCTGGCTTTCAAATTGTTTGGTGTAACGTGTGGAAGTGGGAGGCATGGGGTGGCTGATTAGGTGTGGGGAGTAGGTCAGTGGAATTTTAGGGTGCTTTTTCCCTGTTTTGTCAACGCTTTGTTTTTTAATAGTTAAATGGAGAAATAGTTAAATGGGATTTGATGATAAATCCTCCTCTCGGAAATCGAAATATATTGAATTTCCGGTACCCTTACTGGAAATTTCCGGCGAATTATAGTTCCACTGAAATTTTAAGTAATTTAGCATAATTGCAATTTTTTTATTTTATGGAAAAATCCACAAAAACAGGGAATTTCAGCTTAATTAATTCATGATAATTAATAGAGCTGCAGAGAATGCAGGAAAATATATCCCTCAATTTTCAACTGATTAAAAATCCAAGATAGTTGAGGTATTTTCGTCTTCCTGCTGCTAAAAAATTTGGAATTTCATTGAATTCTCAGTGAAACCTAAAATTTTAGAATTTTTCCCCCTAAATCAGATGCAATGTCGCCCAGAAAATTACTAGTCAACTGAATGAATGAAATTTCAATTGTTTAATAACTGTATCTTTCTATCGTGTCTGTATTCGTTCCTGTATCTTCTCAAGATATTTCGGCTCCAAATTTAATGTGAATGTGGATGGCGCGCAATCCCGCGCCGTTCCCTCACCTTACGAGACTAGTATAGTTATTCTTCCGTCCAGTTTAGGCCGAAATTCCTTGACCTCAATTTTCTATTTTTTAGAGTAGAAAACAAATGCTGAAAAAAATGAAAAACTTATAGCAGCAAAATCATTTCTAAAGAAAGAATCGTTAGTAGTAAAGTTTAAAAAGTTGAAAAAGTTGAGACCCTTCGTGACCTTTGTGACCCTCGTGAATGCTAATATATATAAATATACAAAGGGAAAGCACGAGGTGCGAAAAAGCGCGAGAGAGCGCGACAGGTCGCAAGAAAGCGCAAGAGAGCGTGAAAGATCGCCGGAGAGCGCCAGAGTGCGAGAGGGCATGAGAGAGCGTGGAAGAGCGTCAGAGAGCGTGGAAAGAACGTAGGAGAACGTATCAAAGCGGAAGAGAACATAAAAGAGCGTACGAGAGCGGATGAGAGCGTAAAAAAATATCAGAGTCTCTGAGGGGGGGGGGGATCTCCGTTCATATTTCCACAACTGTACGTATCCCCGACTGTGCATACCTAGACTTGTGAAAAGTCTAAGAGACTGATGCCTCTAAAGAGGGTTTTGAGCTAGGCGAGACTCCTAGACCCCAATGTTCTATACATACTCCTAGACCTCATTCTCCTCCTAGACAATGTTGTCACAACTCTGGTTTTCAATTGAAAACAGACATCATCTTTAGAGACATGTGTCATGTTTAGAGGCCCTAGCACGCCATTTCTCGATCCGCTCTTTCATTTGAGCCCAAAAAAACATTCATATCTTGTCTGACATCGCTGCTACAAACTCGGGTCTACAACTCGGGCTTTCAATTAAAGGCCTGACCCCATTGTCCTCCTAGACAATGTTGTCAGAACTCTGGTTTTCAATTGAAAACAGACATCATCTTTAGAGACATGTGTCATGTTTGGAGGCCCTAGCACGCCATTTCTCGACCCGCTCTTTCATTTGAGCCCAAAAAAACATTCTTATCTTGTCTGACATCTCTGTTATAAACTGTGGTTTTCAATTAAAAACCAGGGGTTCACTTTTCATTTCCGAGGGGATTCATGGGGTTCATATATTTTTCAGGGGAAAAATTAGGCACCCTGACTTTGGAGCCTCATACAGCCCTGGTAGATTATCTTATTTTGACACTTTCCCTGTTACCGACCGTGCAAACTTTGATATGAAGTTTCGGTGTCGGCTGCAAAACGCGCGGGTTTCCGCGTGGTGCGGGAGGGGGGGGGGGGGGGGTGGGGG